AGTAGTAGTAGTAGGTAGTAGGTAGTAGGTAGTAGGTAGTAGGTAGTAGGTAGTAGGTAGTAGGTAGTAGATAGTAGGTAGTAGGTAGTAGGTAGTGTTAGTAGTAGTAGCAATAGTAGTAGTAGTAGTAGTAGTAGTAGTAGTAGTAGTAGCCGTAGTAGTAGTAGTAGTAGTAGTAATAATAGTAGTAGTAGTGGTAGTAGTAGTAGTAGTAGTAGCCGCTGTAGTAGTAGTAGTAGTAGTAGTAGTAGTAGTAGTTGTTGGTGTTGTTGTAGTTGTTGTTGTAGTAGTAGTAGTAGCAGTAGAAGTAGTAGTAGTAGTAGTAGTAGTAGTAGTAGTAGTAGTAGTGGTAGTAAGTCGTAGTAAGTCGTAGCAGTAGTAGTAGTAGTCGTCGTAGTAATATTGTTAATAACCTTATTCTTGCTACTATTAAAAGTTGTAGTCGCACGATTAACATTATTAGTATAATATCCATACGACTATAGCTACGTTTAGTAGTATTAGCATTAGTCGTGTATTGTTTCCTGCTCGTATTGTCCTGAGTCGTATCAGTATTCGCAATAGTGGTGTACGTCTCATTCTGAAAAGTTGCCGTACGAGTGTTATTACTATTATTATTACTGATACTAGTATCAGTATTCGCATTCGTGTTTTTCTAATACTGATACTACTAGTGTTCCCTGTCGTTATTATTAATACTGACAGTAATACTACTATCTTAATCACTCATATTATTAGTGATGGTATTGTTACTAATCCTCCTCCTCCTCCTCCTCCTCGCCCTCTGCCCCACAATCGGATCTTCACTTACGGGGGCGGGCCTGCGGACCTTCACGGGAGGGCCAGGCGGGCGAGCCGGGCCGGCAGGGCACGAAAGAGCGGGCTGGCGGGCTTCCGAGCAAGAGAACGGACGGGCCCTCACAGGCGGGTCGGGCGGGCGGACCCGAACTGGCGGGTCGGGCGGGCGGGACATCAAAGTGCGATTCCTGGATAATCCCACCAGCCCTCTGGGCATAGGTGATTTGACGAACTCTTGTCGTCTTTCTTCTAACAGGTCCCGCCTTCCCCTTCTCGGAGGATGCTTTGGCACTCCCCCTACCCCCTCGCCTGGGCTTGGGAGGGGGGACGGGGTAGTAAGAGCGCCCAAGATGGCCCAAGATGGCTCCAAGCTCAAGATGGCATACAGGATGGCCCAAGGTAGCCGAACATGGTTCAAGATAACCTCCAACGTGCCTCGATGACGCCTCAAGACGGTCCTAAGACGATGTCCAATGACCTTCGAGTCCTCCAAGGACCTCCCCGAGAAGCCAAACCGGCTACAAAACCCGAGGGAACTCAGTGTGCCTTGCCTTCTCGCCGTTTCGCTTCCGATGGGCTCATGAGGCCTCAAGATGGCCCCAAGACGGCCCAAGAGAGCCCAAGAGGGGCGCAAGAGGGCCCCAAGACAGCCCCATGAGCGCCCCATGAGGGCCTCAAGACGTAATGTGTCAGGCCCCGAGTCAGCCCAGAGAGGCCCCCAAGACGGCTTCCGACGGTGTCAGACGGGCCCCAGGAATGCCCTGAGACGGCCAAAGAGTCCCTCGAGAAGCCCACAAAGGTCCCCAAGAGGACCAAGGAGGCCTCCAAGATGCCTCCAAGAGGCTCCCAGGAGGCTCCCAGGAGGCCTCAGGAGTGCTCCCAGAGGCTCCCAAGATGCCCCCTCCTCCTCCTCCTGATCTTCCCCGCCAACCTTCCCCCAAATATTCCCCAAGGGTTTCTACAACGGCTAGGGGAACACGTGGACCGATGGCTTGGCAGAGCTCTTGCCACAACGCTCGGCCACATGGGCGATACCAAAAGGCAGGGGGCGGCGGTGATTCGCCGCAGGCGTCTTCGATCTGCCGCCACCTGTAGTCTTGCCACAGGGATGCCCGGCGTGCTGAACCCTACTGGTTTGGTTTCAGTTCTTTGTGAAAAAAGACTCTCTCCTGGAGCTTCGGCGCGTCCCGCCGCCCAGAAGGCTGCTGGCGAGGTAGTTCCAAAGGTTTTTGCTGGTCTCGATGGCTCAAAGATGGACCAAGATGGCCTCCAAGACGGCCACGATGGCCTCCGAATTCGCCCAAGATGGTCTCCAAGACGGTCCAAGCGAGTCCAAGATGCCTCACGCAGCCGCCCCTGATGGCGCCCTTGACGGGGGACCTGAGGGGGCCAGTCCTCCCCCAACCACCAGCCATCGTCAAAGAACTTCCAACGGGGGGAAGCCGAGCTCGGTAAGGGCGGCGGGCCTCCACACCTCCGCCTCGTCCAGCCGGCCTGGACCCGGCGGCGGGCCCATGGGCCCGCTGCTCGGCCCAGACGGCGCGCTGCACGCGCTCACCGGCGCCAGCCTCCCGTCTCGGCGGCCCGCCCTCCGCGCGTCCGTCGATCGTCCTTGCAAACAGCTGGCTCCTCCTCCTCCTCCTCCTCCTCCTCCTCCTCCTCCTCCTCCTCCTCCTCCTCCTCCCCCTCCTCCTCCTCCTCTCCTCCTCCTCCTCCTCCTGCCTCCTCTCCTCCTCCTCCTCCTCCTCCATCCTCCTCCTCCTCCTCCTCCTCCTCCTCCTCCTCCTCCTCCTCCCTCCTCCCTCCCCCCTCCCCCTCCCCCCTCCCCCTCCCCCTCCCCCTGCGCCTCCCCCTCCCCCTCCCCCTCCCCCTTCCCCTCCCCCTCCCCTCCCCTCCCCCTCCCCCTCCCCCCTCCCCCTCCCCTCCCCCGTCCCCCTCCCCCTCGCCCTCACCCTCCCCCTCCCCCTCCCCCTCCCCCTCCCCCTCCACCCCTCCGCCTCCTCCGCCTCCTCCTCCTCCTCCTCCCCCTCCTCCTCCTCCGCCTCCTCCTCCTCCTCCTCCTCCTCCTCCTCCTCCTCCTCCTCCTCCCACTATGGAGGACTAGTGAAGGGAACCGGGAACCGGGAACCCCAAAACCGGGAACCGGGAATCAGGAACCGGGAACCGTGAACCGGGAACCGGGAACCGGGAACCGGGAACCGAGAATCGGGAACCGGGAACCGGGAACCGTGAACCGGGAACCCCGGAACCGGGAACCAAAAACCGGGAACCCCGGAACCGGGAACCGGGACCCGGGACCCGGGACCCGGGACCCGGGACCCGGGAACGAACCGGGAACCCGGAACCAGGAACCGGGAACCAGGAACCAGGAACCGGGAACCGGGAACCGGGAACCATGGAGGAATAGTGAAGGGAACCAGGAACCGAGAACCCCAAAACCACCGGGAACCGGGAATCAGGAACAGGGAACCGGGAACCGGGAACCGGGAACCGGGAACCGGGAACCGGGAATCGGGAACCGGGAACCGGGAACCGTGAACCGGGAACCCCGGAACCGGGAACCCCGGAACCGGGAACCAAAAACCGGGAACCGGGAACCCTGGAACCGGGAACCGGGACCCGGGACCCGGGAACGAACCGGGAACTGGGAACCAGGAACCGGGAACCAGGAACCGGGAACCGGGAACCGGGAACCGGGAACCGGGAACCAGGAAGCGGGAACCGAGAACTTGGCGACTAAAACACCTTACTTCTTGGGGGATCTTGGAGAGCATCGCTCACCCAAGGCGGGTCTTCGAGCGCGGCCCCTCACTGAGGAGTTTTCAACATCTTTGCTCGGAGCTAATTTTGGGTCCCCTGGAAGCTTTTGGGGTCCTTTGGCGGACCTCTTGGGGCACTTTGGGGCCTGTTTGGCACCACCTTTGAGCTCTCTTGGAATTTTCTTGTGAACCCTGGGGGTCTCATCCGGCTAGCTTGGAAGCCATCGATCAGCGAAGAGCCACGCGCGCGCTTTCGGCATTGCATCCCGGGTTCCTGGCTGGTGAGCGTGGCGCTCGTTTGTATAGTATTGGGTGGGGGTAGTGGTGGCATGGGGGCGCGCCGACTCTGGAAGCAGCGCTGGGTCTTCGTTCGGTCGGCAGCCCTGCCTTCGGGCGGTGGGCTGCCCTGTTCGGGGGCCCTGCTGTGAAAGACAAGGTCGCGTCGAAGCTGGAGGAAGGTTTCTGCGGAACCCGACGGAAGACGGGGAAGCACCTACGCGCGGGCTACTTACACCACCAGCAGCACCAGCAACAACACGGTCTGCCCAGCTGCTCCGTTCTGTTCTGCTCGTTTTGTTATGTTGTGTTCCGCCCCGCTGCTCCGTTCCGTTCGGGTCTTGACCGCAGGGCTCGTCTGTTTCGCTCTGGGCCGCAATCTCGTCTGTTCTATTTTGTTATGTCCCGTTGCTCCTTTTCTGTCTTCGTGCTCCGCTCTTTTCTGTTCTGCCCCGCGGTTCCGTTCTGTTCTGGTCTTGGCCGCAGGTTCGTCTGTTCTGTTCTGGGCCGCAATCTCGCCTGTTCTGTTTTGTTCCGCCCCGCTGCTCCGTTATGTTATGCTTGTTATGTGATATTACGTTCTGCTCCCCTGCTCCTTTCCGTTCTGTCGTGCCCCGCTGCTCCGTTCGGTTCCGTTCTGCCCCGTTGCTCCGTTCTGCTCTTGTCTTGGCTGCAGGCTCGTCTGTTCTGTTCTGGGCCGCACCATCGTCCATTTCGATCTGGCGTGCCCCGCTGCTTCGTTTTGTTCTGCTCGTTCTGTTCTGTTCTGCCCCGATGCTTTGTTTTGGTCTGCCCCGAGGACCCCTCCTCAACTACGTGATGTTCTGCGCCGGGTCGTGTTCCCAGGAGGAACCATGGCGCCCCCCCAGACGTGGCTGCCTCTGGAAGGGCGGTTCCGCGTAGAGTTCTTCCTCGGTTACCGCGCGGTTTCGCGAAGGGCTGGCTCGTTTCTAGGAGGAACCTTGGGTTCACGTTGCCCCTTGTTGTTCTTGTCATGACTGCAAGCTCGTCTGTTTTGCTCTGGGCCGCAATATCGTTTGTTCAATTCTGGCGTGCCCCGCTCTTTCGTTCTGTCATGCTCGTGATGTTATGTTATGTTATGCTCCGATGCTTTGTTCTGGTCTGTCCTGCTGTTCCGTTGTGTCCTGTTCCGTTCCTCTGCTCCGTTCTTTTCTGGTCTTGGCCGCAGGCTCGTCTATTCTGTTTTGGGCCGCAATGTTGTCTGTTCTGTTCTGTTTTGACCTGCTGCTCCGTTCTGCTATGCGTGTTTTGTTCTGTTCTGCCCCGATGCTCCTGTCCTTTCTGGTATTGCCCGCCGCTCTTTTCTGTTATGTTCTGTCCCGCTGCCCCGCTCTGTCATGTTGGGTAACTTTTCTCTTTGTGGAAGCCGCCTTCGCGTGGGCCTATGGGTCCAATCACATGAGGTTTTGCGAAGGGCCGGCCGGCTGTTTCTAGGACGAGCCAGGGCGCCCCTCCCCCGACGTTGCTCCTTCAGGGAGGGTGGTCTCGCATAGGTTTCCTCCTCGGAATCCGTGCGGTTTCGCGAAGGACTGCCATGTTTTTAGAAGGAACCTTGGGTCCACGCGTTTTCCTGCGGACCCCTTTTCAATAACGTGATGTTTTGCGCTGGGTCGGTTTGTTCCCAGGAGGAGCCATGGCCCCCCCCCTCCTGGACGTGGTTTCCTCTGGAGGGGCGGTTCCGCGCAGAGTTTTTCTTCGGATTCCGTTCGTGCTCACGAAGGGCTGGCTCGTTTTTTACGAAGAAGCCTGGGTTCACGTTGCTCCTTGCGGGTGCCGGATTTCGCTTGGACCTGTCCCCCCCATTACGTTGTGTTTTGCACAGGGCTGGTATGTTTCGAGGAGGGCGTACGGCCCCCCCGATGTTGTTCCCTCTGGGACGGTGGTTTCGCGCACACTGCTTCCTCGTAGTCCGTGCGGTTTTGCGGAGGGCTGGCTGGTTTCTAGGAGGAACCTTGGGTTCACGTTGCTCCCACATGGGGCTGGCCCTGGCCATGCTCGCTCCCTGCAAGGTTTTGTGCGAAAGGCCGGCGTGTTCCTATGAGGAGCCCTGGCATGCTCGCCCCCTGCATACACAATTTGCCGAGGGCTGCCTCATCTCTAGGCACAACCTGGGTTTCCCCTCCCCCTCCCCACCTCCTCCTTCCATGTTCGCCCATCCCGGCTACCCAGCCTTTTGCCCTGTCCGTTTTTGTTTCCGTTTCTTCATGGTCTTTCGCACAGGGCCGGCTTGTTCCTAGGAGGAGCCGTCGTTCCCTCATGTTTTCCTGGACGCACCCTGGTTCGTGACAGCGCGGCTTCTCCCAGAGGCTTGCGCTTTCTGCCACATGGGGCTGGCCCTGCCCATGCTCGGCCCCTGCATGCCTAAAGGAACGCGTCGGTTAATAATAGTTAGCTGGAGTTATAACTAGTTCGTAACTCGTTATAACTAGCTTCCGTGTTGGAGTTTTTGGAGTGACATGTTCGGTTTGTTGGCTTATACTTGAGGATGTGTTTGGAACGTGCATTTTGTTTTTTTGGAGACTGCATGTTGTTTCCTTTGCATATCGATGTTGTTTTTTGTAAAGTATGCACTAACAGAATAATGTACGGTATTTAACGGGCCAAATGCACGCGATATGATCGCCAACTCCCCTGTAAACCACTGGAGATTTCAACGAACTGAAGGGGATGAGAAAGGGACCGCGGGCATCATCGATGACATGCCTAGAAAAGTGTTCGCTCGCATGCACATGCTTTGTAATCAGAATCTGAACTAAACTCTGCGGCGGATCGCCGTCGCATTTCACGTGGAACCACACTTGGACTGCAACGTGGCCACGATCGCGGCCCATCAAAACTATGTCGCCACGTTTGATGGTTCCTCCATGTTCGGCGTGCGTTTCAATGGTCGAGACTGCTGCATGCGCGCCTGGCCGCAGCTGCTGCAAAGCACTCAACAAACATTTGCTTGCAACTGTGGCGCACTCGAACTCGCACTGCAGTGACAACCCGCGGATGTTCTGTAGATAATGCATGCGCTGAGCCGCGAGCTGGATCATTACAGCCTTCTCGGGCCTCGTCTTGCACAGGTGGTCTGCAAATCGTTTGATATGTTTGTGTTCCCGCTCTTGGACAAAACATGATAAAGCACCATGCCTCTCAATCATATCAGCCAAACGGATAGCCATGTGATGCGCATACACACAATACTTGGCACCGTATGCACGCTGGTGAAGCTCCAAATGTTTCAACACTGCTGACTCAACCTCGTCGCGCGTGCATGGCAATCGCCTCGACGCGCAGAGAATAACATCCACGGCGTCACAGAACGCCAGCATGCTTGCTATCTGGTCTGCGACTGCATCGCATGATGGTACACTGGCAATGACTTGCCTAATGTATAGAGCCAGCGCGGGAATCGCAGATAGCTCTTGCGAGGCACTCGCCTGGAAGTCCCCCGTTTCCCAGACTGTTGCAGCAGAGTGGTGTTTGGATGGCTATGTCCACTTCATGAAGTAATCGTGGAGGTCGTC